AACTATTATCCAACATAAATATAAGTTTAATCAAATTTACATCTTTTATGCATCGGTTGTTCTTACTTTTGTCCTTCCTGAGCTTGTCTCTGAACCTCCTGAAGTCCATCCACGGCCTGATGAAAGTCAAATACTGACACAAACAGAAGCAATCGTACGATCATCTATTATATGTATTTTCCACCATATTTAATAAAAACACTGTTATTTATTGTTATATTACCAATGTGAGCCCGATCTGAGATGACAAGTCTTTTATCCCATCCTTTCAGACCTTATCATGGAAGAAAACTACAAATTATTCCTGAGCACAGAATCAAGCCATGAATAATCAATGAATCAGATCTAGCCAACAGGATTTGTGTAAGGCTAGTTCATTTAAAACCGTTTTGCATGTATATGCAAATTGTGACACAAAAAAAACCTCTTTTCTCATTCTTGTCAATCTCCTCGAACAATCCTGGAAGATGAATGACTACGCCGTTACCTGCAGATGAAGACATGTTACTGAAACTACAGTCGATCAGGATTCAAACATCATATTTGATCACAAGCAAAACTGTGCTTTAATCATTAAGGGATAAGTTGTCTTTAATATATGGAAGCATGTTTCTGGCACAGTACAAAAAAAATATATATATGATTGCGAATTTTTATATCACGATTTTGACTTTTTTCTTGCAACTGCAAGTTTAACATCTCGCAATTCTGACTTATTTACTCTGAATCCTGAGTTTATATCTCACAATTCTGACATTTTTCTTTACATTTTGTATTTATTTCTCGCAATTATTACTTTTTGTCTTTAAATTTTGAATTTATTTCTCGCAATTATTACTTTTTGTCTTTAAATTTTGAATTTATTTCTTGCTATTCTGACTTATTTACTCTGAATCCTAAGTTTATATCTCACAATTCTGACATTTTTTTTTAATTTTTAATTTATTTCTTGCAATTCTGACTTTTTTCTTTAAATTTTTAATTTATTTCTTGCAATTCTGGCTTATTTACTCTGAATCCTAAGTTTATATCTCACAATTCCGACATTTCTCTTTAAATTATGAATTTATTTCTCGCAATTATTACTTTTTGTCTTTACATTTTGAATTTATTTCTTGCAATTCTGACATTTTTCTATAAATTTCAAATGCATTTCTTTCAATTCTCTTTTTTTCTATAAATTTTGAATTTATTTCTTGCAATTCTCACTTTTTTTTCTCAGAATCAGAATTTTTTTCTCATTATTGTGAATGTATATCTCACAATTGCTTAAAGGGGTCATATGATGTTGCTAAAAAGAACATTATTTTATGTATTTGGTGTAATGAAATGTGTTTATGCGGTTTAAAGTTAAAAAAACATTATTTTCCACATACTGTACATTATTGTTTCTTCTCTATGCCCCGCCTTTCTGAAACACGTTGATTTTTACAAAGCTCATCGGTCTGAAAAAGCGAGGTGTGCTGTGATTGGCCAGCTATCCAATGCGTTGTGATTGGCCGAATACCTCAAGCGTGAGACGGAAATGTTACGCCCCTCACCATACTGTTGTATTCCCTCAGCGACCAGCACAGATCAGCTCCAGGCATGACGAAGCGGACATCGTCCTCTTTTGGAAGACCAAACAAAGTAGTTTCGCTTTCACAACCAAGCACACAGCTTCTTCAGGATATGGCGGTGGCAACAATACTACAGCGAGAATAAAAGTTATGCCTTCTTTCTTTGCGTGAACATTTGGGCGGCGTTATGCAAATCTTCCCACATAGTGACGTAGACATGTGGGGGCGTGTTAGAACAGGCCGTTTTAGGTAGGTGTGGTTGACTCTTAACTTTTATAAAGAATATCTCTTTGGATTTGAGACTTTAGTCTTTGCAACTTTACAGATCTTCTTTATGCACCAAGAGCTTGTAACACTCCAAAGAGAAAGGAACAATTGAAATCGCATCATATGACCCCTTTAATATAAACCCATAATTGCAAGTTCACTTGTACTTTTTTTCTCACAATTCTGACCTTTTTTCTTATAATTGCATGTTTATGTCCCGCAATTCAGACGTTTTTTGTCAAAATTGTGGGTTTCTATCTTGCAATTCTGAGAATGTATTTATTTTTGTAATTTTTGAACATATACAGTCAATACGCCAATACTGTCCTCCAAAGTTACTGTAATGCACTGTACTGCAAGACTCTCCTTCTCACCGATGAATGATGTGCATTTGGTGTTGATGATCCCACTGGGGAGAAGATGGAAGTCATACTCTTCCTCATCCACCACCACCGTGTGACCAGCGTTATTTCCTCCCTGTGACAGAAGAACCACAGGAACCTCATGCAATGCACTGTGAAGCTGCAGGACGGTTTGCAGTCAAAAGTTCACGCTCCAGATTTACTCTCATGTTTTCTCCAGAAGGGAGACCTGGAAATATGACTCTGTAAGCATCCAGACGGCCGGCTTGCCCTTTCCTCAGACACACTGTCACACCAGCCTCCAGCACGCTCCACCAACCAGTGAGGCTTATTTTCAACAGATGGGCTTGAGTCGCCAGCGCCGTGGCCTTCTCACATGTCCAGTACTGCTGGGAATGTGACCCGAGCTCAGCGGAGGGCAGGAGGAATTCTGGGACTCGCACAGCAACACGGCTGAACATGCACGAATTGTTACGAATACTTTATACTATATGCATATAACAGTAATTTTAACAACATGCATGTGACTAATAATGATGATAAACAGAGCCGTAAACATTCAACTGACACTCCATCCCATATTCAGGCCCGTTTTAGACCGATAAAGAGTGATGAATTCTTAAATTAGACATTCGCTCCAACAATTCGGAATATGTAGAGAAATAAGAACAGAGCAATATCATGCTTTATTGCACAGCAAACTATTAATATTAAAATTAGTTGAATATATATATTATAATAGATTAACACATTCAAGTAGAATTTAAACCGCAGAAAATAAATAATCAAATAAAGTAAAAAAATTATGAGTTTTTTTTCCTTTTCTAGATGCTCCAAATCTGTTATTTCATAAACTAATTTTATAATACTAGCTTGCTGTCCAATAAACACAATATTTATCAGTTCTTATTTTTATATTTCTATACATGTTCAGTGCAGTTGCATTTTCATAAACAAGAGACATGACAATATTTCTTCCATAAGAGACCCATAAACTATGCAGAGAAGTTACATCGTTTGCTATAACTATAGATACACATAAATAATACATGGTAATATGATATTAAATAAATCGTTTATAATTAATTAGTATTGTTAGCAGTAGTACAGCGTATTAAATTTAGTTTTATTAATGCAAACAATGATTCAGAATATTATTAAAATAAATTAATAACGTTAATGAGATGTAATAACCAGTTATTAAAATAAATGTTAAATATTTATACATTTAGTACAACTAATTATATAAGATTACAGTCACATTCGTCATATATTTCACACGGAAAGTTACCAGTCAAGTTTATTATTATTGATATATGAAGGTATATGTTTATATTTTGACCGTTATATTACCTGACACCTGCACACGACGTCAGACTCCGTCGCCAATAAATCAACAACTTTTCCTTTGCCTTCATCTCCCCATTGCGCTCCCAGAACCACCGCCACTTTGTTCCCGGAGTCGTTTCTCGCCCGTTTCACGGCGGCGGACTTGTGGTCGTTCGCTGACCGGCCCAAAGACATGTTGAAGTGACCGGAGAGGAATGAATCTGACATCCGTTACCGACGAGCGCGGGAGGAACGGACAGAGATGTGTCGTTCGCGGACGAGTCGGTTCCTTTGAGTGAATTATATGAGTCGGCTCCCTTCTGACAGCCGTTTGGGAACCGAAAGAGTCGGTTCTTTTTGCTGAGCCGAGCCAATTGATCCGGATCACTAAAGCGCTTCGGCGCGGCGCGAAACTTTTTAGAATAAGGATAAATAATACTTCTTCCATTTTAACTAGTTACTTCTCGGAAATTACTTTATAATAATTTCAACAGTTTTTAAAGTTTAACTGCTCCGGTGTAAATTATCTAAAGAGCGCGTATCGTCACGTGACACCTGTTACTTTTCTCAACGCTAGACCGAATAGACCAATCGCAGTCGATGATGCTTACTGGATGAGACTTTTTAAAACACGTTTCATGTTTCATTGCTGAGGTAGATTTGTGTTTTTATGTTACTAACCAATTCATGGAGTTCGTTGATTTAAAAGATCACACTTGTAAGAGTACAAATGTTTCCAGTACGACAAAAAACGCATTGATATTTGAAAGCAGCCTTGTTTTGGTGCGCGTCATCACAACATCACGTGTTCGGCGAGTGGGCGGGGCTTCATTGTTTCCGCTACAAACGCGATATAAACAAATGCGGTATTTGACAGGAATCCTGTCACTAAACGTGTTGCACCCAATTTCTACCTGTATTTAAATAGTGTAAACAGAAGCAGAAGAGTCGCGAGAGCGCCATCATCAGCGTGTCAATCATTCTGTCCGTTCTGAATTGCGAATTTGTGATTGGCTGGCATGCATCTGGGGGCGGGGTTTAGAAGTGAAGGCGTGTGATTGGAGACGAAACGACAGAAATTACAGCATCTTTAACTGTTTGTTCGTTTAAATTCTAATGCATTTCACATTGCAATGAATGTGAGATTGAGTGTTAACAACGAACAAACCCCATAACTGATTGCACATTTTTATTTATATATAATTTAGAGATTTTCTTGATGAAAATGCATTCCGACATAAATATGAAAGTCACACTCAAATGAAGACACTAAACAGTCCAGCTCAACCACTGCACGCGCAAAATATAATTAATCATTTCTGTGAAGAAATTATTTCACTAATATTTTCGAACTGATATCATAATTTACCAGTACTTTTCTGCAATAATGCCAAATATCTTCATAATATATAAAGTTTACATTCAGAGCAATATTAACAGTTAACATCAAGTATCTTAAAAGTTTGAGAAACACAGCAAAAATCCATAAGTAGCCATTTTTTCTCTCCTTAACCACACTCGTATGTAAACAAAGTTTTGGTGTCTCATAAATGTAGTTTACAGTGTGTAAATATTTAAAACAGTTAGGTCAAATCTAAAGATTTAGCATTTAAAAATAAATTTCTTTAAGCCAAACTCAAATACACAGTGTACAATGTGTATTTCTTCAAACTACGCCATCAGTGGTTCTTCTGCAGATCTCAAGTCCAGTGAGATCCAGTGGAATAACAGGATCACCGCAGGAACAGACTCAACTTCTCCTTCTCCCTCTTGTTCTCCTTTTCCTTGAGCTTCCTGCAACATGAGGGAAAAAAGTTTAAACTTTGAGCGCCAACATCAGGCATCGATTTAAGACCACCGGCATTAAAGGAATAGTTTCAGTGAATGGGTGCCGTCAGAATGAGAGTCGAAACAGCTGATAAAAACATCACAATAATCCACACCACTCCAGTGTATCAGTTAACATCTGGAGAAGACAAAAGATGAAACAAATCCATAATTAAAGACGTTTTTAACTAAAATATGAGTCCATACTTCATAATAACGCTTCCTCCAGTGAAAAAGTCCATCAAAATCCAGCCACATATTTGTTTAGAGCTGTTTAAACAGTGCTTGATCTGTGCAGATTTCTCTCCTGATTCAGACCAGAACACTTTTTCACTGGAGGAAGCGTTATTATGGATTATGGACTTGTATTTTAGTAAAAAAGGTCTTAATGCTGGATTTGTTTCAGCTTTTGTCTTCTCCAGATGTTAACTGATACACTGGAGTGCTGTGGCTTACTTGTGAATTATTGTGATGTTTTTATCAGCTGTTTGGACTCTCATTCTGACGGCACCCATTCACTGCAGAGCATCCAATGCTGAGACACTGATGCAGTGCTACATTTCTCCAAATCTGATGAAGAAACTATCTCGGATGGCTTGAGGGTGAGCACATGTTCAGCACATCTTCATTTTTAGATGAACTGTTCCTTTAAATGATGAAGTAGCATAATAAATTGTATCTTGAGGGATTGCTGAAGTATACAGAAACACAGAAGCTCAAGCACAAAGGTTTTAGCAAATCAGCTTGGAAATGATACTTTAAAACTTCCAAAACAATACATATACATTTTATTTGTAAATATCATGGCTGATATATATATAGCAAAAAAAAGCAAGTCCAACCTCTAAATGCTCCTATTCAGAACAAAGTGTTCTCTTTTAACCACAAACTATTTGCTAATCTTGGAATTTAGACGCTATGCTGCACACCTGGACTCATTTCTAAACTATTTGCTTTGTTTATCTTTCATTCTTCACAGACGGACCGATTAAAGCCCTGGTTTAATCATGACGACAACCCTAAAACATGTCGGGTCAAAGGTCACACACGTTCACTGATAAAGAGACCAGAATCTTCACATACCTCTGCTGTCAATCATTTACGGTTAGTCACTAAACAAACACTTTGCAATGTGATTTACACTGGTATATTTATCTATTTACATGAATATACACTTCTGTTTGGGGTCAGTAAGACTTAAAAAAAAAAAAAAAAAAAAAAATATCAAAAATACTATTATTCAACAAGGATGCATTAAATTGCTCAAAAGTGACAGTAAAGACATTTATAATGTTACAAAAGATTTCTATTTCCAATAAATGCTGTTCTTCTGAACTTTCAATTCATCTGTGAATCTTGAAAAATAAAATATGTCACGGTTTCCACAAAAATATTAATGTTTTCAACATTGCTAATAATCAGAAATGTTTGTTGAGCAGCAAATCAGCATATTAGAATGATTTCTGAAGATCATGTGACACTGAAGACTGGAGTAATGATGCTGAAAATACAGCTGCGCATCACAGAAATACATTACAGTTTAACAGATTCACATAGAAAATGGCTGTTTTAAACTGTAATAATATTTAACTTTTTTACTGTATTTTTGATTAAATGCATGCAGCATTGGTGAGCCCTTCAGAAACATAAAAAAAATCTTACGGACACCAAACTCGTGTTAATTAAGAGAATAATGATTCATCATAATTAAGTTGCTGGTTAAAATTACAGATGAGCAGATATATTTTTGTTAACAAAGAAATGGAATCAGTTATGAGACACAAATCTGATTTATACACACGTAAAGAAATGATTCAACAGTCTCTCATGACGAAAGAGAGGAGGTTTATTTGACGAACCGGAGACGAGAGCAAACCACAGCAGATCCCCACGAGCTCAGGACGAGACAGAATGTTAATAGTTGGAGGACTAGTCAACACACGTGGGTAAGTAGAGAGGACTGGTTAGAGATCGATTAGGCGGCTTTGAGCGGACGTCCTGCTCGGTTCTGTTAGTTCTCTATGGAGAGGTGTTTGACCGGCCTCACTGCAACACACAGCCCTTTATAGAGCGTCCTTTCCCTCCGTTACCCACCACTTCAGAGGGCCACAGAAAAAGAGACACTGACATTCATTTCAAGCCTCTGCACGGCATGAGCTCAGAGCGAGAGGTGATGCACTAACTCCGGATAACTAACATCTGACAGCAAAGACAATACAGAGCAAGCACACACATTAACGGTGTTACAACACACGGATGTTTCTGGAAATGTCATTGGAAAATGACAACAAATGAAAATTCAGTAACTTGAGATGTCAAGAAAATGTTCAGGTCATATTGCACCCAAAAATCAAAAGCCTATATTTAGAACAATTCATTATAGTAATAAGAATTTGAATGGGATTCAAAAAAAGGATACAAAAAATAAATAGGGGTTGGTCGAAATAAATGTATAATAATAAAAATATTTTTTATTTAATTTAGTATGTATAATAATAATAACAATAATATATATTGATGTATAATAGATCAATTAAATATCTGTGACATTGTGACATAGTTTAGAGAATTTGGGTGGATGGGGGTTTATATAATAATAATTAAAATAAATAAATAAATACATTTGTATTGGTTGAAAAAAAATAATACTACTACATTACAGTAAAGAGAATTTAGGTAGGGGGAAATAAAAAACAAATAAATAAATATAAAAAT